TGCATTCTATTCTATTCTTATTCTGCATTCTATTCTATTCTTATTCTCTAGGATTTTGGTTATTCAGGTTTTTGATCCCGGGTGTATCATCTTAACTTTGCTTTAAAAATCTTGTCCTCAAGAGATTGATTTCTTTAACAATTGATTTTGAAGCAAATGTCTTGTGTTATTCATTGGCGTGGTAGAAAATTAACATTACATTTCTTGTTAAGGTACCCACAGCTCACTCCTCAAAACAAGGAGTCCATGGATGTGGGCAGAAACATTTTTGCCAAATTCTCCGCATACATCAAGAACCCCCATAAGGAAGCAAATAAAAGTAAGAAACGGGGGAAACACAGGCCTGTTTTTCTTACGTGGGGATTTCTTTTCTTTTTTTAAATATCTATCTCTTACAAATGTTTGTGTCTGATAAGCAAAATTAGTCCTTGACTTACAATTATTCATTTAGTGACCATTTGAAGTTACAGCAACACTGAAAAAAGTGACTTATGACCAATCCTCCCACTTACCCGTGCTCACCTGATCAAAATTGCCTTGCTTGGCAAATCGGCATGCATTTAGGATGATTCAATGTCCCAGGTCATGGGATCATCACTTGTGACCTTTCCAGATGGCTCCAGAAAAACCAAATCAAATAGGGAAAGCTGGTTTCACTTAGCAACTACATGGCTCACTTAACAACTGTGGTACAGAAAGATCCGTGGTGGCGCAGTGGTTAGAATGCAGTATTGCAGGCTACTTCTGCTGCCTGCCGGTTGCCTGTAATTTGGCAGTTTGAATCTCGCTAGGCTCAAGGTTGACTCAGCCTTCCATCCTTCCGAGGTGGGTAAAATGAGGACCCAGATTGTTGGGGGCGATAGATTGACTCTGTAAACCACTTAGAGAGGGCTGTAAAACACTATGAAGCAATGTATAAGTCTAAGAGCTATTCCTTCCTTCCTTCCTTCCCTTCCCTTCCCTTCCCTTCCCTTCCCTTCCCTTCCCTTCCCTTCCCTCCCTCCCTCCCTCCCTCCCTCCCTCCCTCCCTCCCTCCTTCCTTCCTTCCTTCCTTCCTTCCTTCCTTCCTTCCTTCCTTCCTTGTGGCTAGAATGCAGTATTGCAGGTTAACTCTGCCCATTGCCAGCAGTTTGATCTTGACTGGCTCAAGGTTAACTCAGCCTTCCATCCTTCTGAGGTGGGTAAAATGAGAAGCCAGATTGTTGGGGGCAATAGGCTGGTTTAGAGACCGCTTAGAGGGGGCTGTAAAAGCACCATGAAGCAGTATATAAATCTACTTGCTATTGCTATAAAAAAAAAACTGGGAGTGACTAACTTAACAACTGCCTTGGTTAGGAATGGAAATTTTGGTCCCTACAGTGGCCATAAGTCGAATACTATCTATAATCCATTAGAAGTGAAGGATGATGCATTGGTTTCCACTTTTTATCCCTTGTGCTTCAGATTTGGAGAAAGCTTTACTGAAAGAGTTCCAGCGCTTGGATGATTACTTAAGAAACCCCCTGCCTGAAGAAATTGACCAGAACTGTGCTGAAGACCTTCTGGTTTCTGAAAGGAAATTCTTGGATGGAAACCGGATGACATTAGCAGACTGCAACCTTCTGCCCAAACTCAACATCATCAAGGTGAATGCATCTTGCTCTTGGATGGACCTTCATCTCTTTTTCTCAGATGAGTTACAGCCCCTGTGTTATGTCTTCCTTTCTCATCCAAATTTGTGGTGAAGCAGTTTATTGGTGAATTGTTTGTTCTTGACAAAACTCGATTTCTCACTGGCATTTCCCCCCCACCCCCCTTTGTTGGTTCTCTCCCATTTTTCTAGATTGCCGCCAAGAA